TCTGATGAAGGGTCTAGGCCCGAAACGTCAGCCTTTCTGCTCCCCAGAACACTATCTGGGTCTCTGGATTAACAGTCCAGCTATAATCCACTAGGCCATCACCCCCACCTTAAACCTATGCTGTCTAGTTGTGGTCTCCTGTACCCTTGGGAAGAGACCTTGGCTCACCCTATCTATGCCCCTCATGATTTTTTAAACCCCTATAAAGGTCACCCCCTCAATCTCCAACGCTCCAGGGACAAAGGTCCCAGCCTATTCAGTCTCTCCTTATCACTCAAATCATTCAATCCTGGTCACATCCTTGTAAATATTTTCTGCACTCCTTCAAGTTTAACAACATCCTTCTTGTACCAGGGAGACCAGAATTGAACACAGTATTCTAAGTGAGGCTTAACCAATGTCCCATACAGCTGCAACATGACCCCCCAACTCCTATACTCAATGTATCGACCAATGAAGGCAAGCGTACCAAATGCCTTCTTCACTACCCTGTCTACCTGCAATGCCACTTTCAAGGAAATATGAACCTGCACTCTAGGGTCCCTCTGTTTGACCCACCTTCCATTGATTCTGATACTGTTCATCAGTCCATTCACTTCAACTCTGCGTACAGATATGTGGAGCACAGCTCTAACCAAGGTCTAACTGAGCTGTGGAGGCCTATTTCCATGCCAGCAAATAGTTTAAATCTCAAATAAGAACAAAATTCTGCCGGTGCTGAGGACTGAAATAAAAGCAAAAAGTGTTGGATAAGCTCAGTAGTTTGACAGCATCAGTGAAGAGCCACAGAGTAAATCTGATGTGATTCTTCTTCAGGACTTCAAAAAGCTAACGGTGATGTGACAGACTGAATGGTCTCAATGTGCTGTAACTATCCCATACGTATTGTCAAAAAGGGTTTAGTCTTAAAACCGTTACCAATCTTTCTTTAAAAATCTTTTGTATTTTTTGCTGTCTTTGATTTTCTTCATGTGGCCCGAAGGAAGACACTTCATGAAATGCGCGTGCAGCTTCGTGCCAGCTTCACACGACATAGTTATTGTTGGCCTATAATCCTCTAGTAACCCATAGCTACATCTTTATTTCTCATTGGTGTCTGTTTAGCAGCTTCTCTCAATGACATGCTGCAGATTAAAAGGATCTCATACCATGTCAACCTAACTTGTACAGTAGGCTTTGGATTCTGTGTTTTCTCTCTGCCTATGAAATGCATTTGCTCTCAATAGAAATTGCATTGTTGATTATTTGGTTGCATTGGGTGCAGCAATCCTGGGAAGCTTGACTCGTTCAATCCTGCTGTCAAAGACCGAAATAACCGCCCAGAGGCCAGTACTGTCACCAATTCACCCTTTATTTACATGTGCACAGTATATGGCCTCTGACCAATCAGCTCAGAGCTAGTCCCTACAACGAGGGGACTGTCTGAATCTCCTGTTTGTATCTATCAGCCAGTGCTCCCTGATTGGCCCAGGTTAACAACTCCAACCAAGGATCTCACAGTCAGTGGATCCACCTGGCCCACATTCCAATCACAAAAGGCCACCCCCCCCACAACCTCAAATCCAGGCATGTAGGCCTGTTTTTGTAGCTTCTTCAGTGACATTTTTGCGCCAGGTCTAGTTCTTCCAACTCTGGCTTGGACACGGGCAGTGTGTAACAGACCACAGCTCATCTCTTGCGCCCAGAGTGTCTCAGGCGAGTTTCCTTTTTTTTCAGGTAGTATCGGTATTGAGGCTACATCTGTCTTGTCTCTGAGGTTTCTTTGATGCTAGATGGAAGGGGAGAACCCATGGTTTCTGACAACCTTTTCGGATGTTCTGAGCAGCCAGCTACGTTTTGCCCCTGCCTCATTTGCAAGATTGCAGTTTTCAGGTGAACACATATTTGCTCAGTAATGCCTCACCTACCCAAACTTTGTACATCAGGGACTGACCTTGTGTCGACCTTGCCTCCTACCTATTTCCGTTGTTTCAATACCAAACTTTGTCCCCTGAAGTAAACTGTCTCTCTTATTTGGGTCATAAATCACACGACATCAGGTTATAGTCCAACAGGTTTATTTGAAATCACAAGCTTTCGGAGCCTCAGTCCTTCCTCAGGTGTTAATGGGAGAAGTAGAATCAGCCACAGAATTTGTAAGTAAAAGATTAAAGGTTCACTGCATTGATGAGGATGTACTAAATAAACCTAAGATACTGATAAATCTTTAATCAGGCAGAATTGATTAATATGTATATGTAAATCCCCGAAGTCCTTTCAAGTCACAGTCCTGAGAGAGCTAAAGGTTTTAATCAGTGTAAAGAACAGGTGACATTTTAGGTCAGGCAGTGCATGTTAGGTGTGAGATTTGGTTTAGAATCTGTTTATGTTTTAGTTTGGAGTCAGATTGGTTTTATTTCTCAATTAAGAATTTATAAAAAACCATATTGACTAACTGTCTATAAATTGTGTGCTTTTTGAACAAAATAGAATGTATCTGCAAATACAAATTCACCCCATAGATTCACGCGTGTGTGTGTGTGTCTGCTTGTGTGAGTGAGTGAATGTGTATGTATACGTGAGTATGAGTGTATAGTGTGGTGGGGTCACCAGGAATGCAACATGAACCCAAGATACAATTTCTCTCACTAACACCCAAAGGAGGAGTGAGGCTCCGAAAGCTTGTGTTTACAAATAAACCTATTGGAGTACAACCTGATGTCATGTTATTTCTGACCTTGTTCACTCCATCCAACACTGCCACCTCCACATCTCTTGCTTAGAGGGTGCATGTGGCCAGCACTGGTGTTCCTGCTGCCGTTTCAGGGGAAACAAATACTGTGCCAGAAACACCCACATCACATGAAAGAATTTTTTTAACCTCCTTCTATACAGAGAAGACTTGAGAATTCAACACTGCAGCTTTGTACACACTAGCAATAAAGCAGAATTTAATTAATTGCCCTGAGGGTAATGACCTAAAGTAGAAATTTGAAAAAAAAACAAAGAAATGCTTCTGTTTCCTGCCTGGAATCAAATTCCATGAAGAGTGATATTTTTTCTTCCCCTGACATAAAATCAGCTTCTGCCCAGAAGGATAAAGAGGAGGAGATTGGGTGGACAAATCCAATTTGCAGTGGGAGGAGAGCCAGTTTCTCCATCAAAAATTCCATGAAAATCAGACTCTTTTTCCTTCCAATTGTGAGAAAACGCCCAGTTGAATCCACTTCTGCCCCCTCTCCACCCTAGGATTAACTCAGAGCCCAGTCCCAATAGGCTAGTGAACTGTGAGTCATGGGCAGTGAACAGCAGGAGCTAATGTCCCGTATTCAGCACCGATTCTCCAGAGCTGTCTTTGGCTCTGCTCCCAAACCTGCTCAATGGGAACTATAGAAGAACGAAGTCTCTTGAGCTGCAGATACCTATTGTGGAGGTGGTGTTATGGATAACCCACCTGTCTGCCAACTCCACACGCTAAAGCTCCAACACATCGACTGCTTTGCCATCTTTCTTTTTGTCTTATTTAACTAATTAGGTTTCAAGTTTAGAAATATTACCTGATGATTCTCCGTCCTCATATTATGGAGTTTAATGAGTTAATGTTCTAACTATTAGAAATATTTCTATGTCCTCAGTACTGTTTTAAACTACCAAGAAAATTAATCCGAGTGAGAGGAATTGAACCCTAAAACACCACCTAAAGCCAACATATTGTACCTGAGGTGGGATGCACAAAATTGAATATTAAAACCTCAGATGGTGTTTGAACAAAGCCACATACAATTGAACATACCCTCCTCTCTTTTATATCTTAATTGCTTCATAAGGGTTCTTACAAAGTTCCAACTCTTCCTTCCCTATCCGCTGTTAAATTACAAACACTGAAATTAAGCTTTCCATCCTGACCCCATCCATCCAAGACCCAATTATAACATCCCTTATAAATTCAAATTCTGTTTAACAAAAATCATCATACATACCATTGCCAGTCCAACAAAGCTTGACAACAGAAAGGATTAAAAACTGTACAACGAGAGAGTCTCTGATTAGCCCCATGATGGCTAACTACTGATGGCACACTGATAGACAGGCTGGAAAAACATTCTGGTTAATGGTACACCAAGATCAGCAGAGGACAAATTGCAGCACTGAGAGGTCATATTGCACAAGCAAGTAAGCTTCTCTCTGTGTTCCAGGCCAGATAATGGACTACAAAGTTCTGTTTGATATTTAGAAGGTCAGGGAGAAAGAGCTTGCATTTATATAGCACCGTCATGACTCAGGAAAGTGCTTTTTTTAGGCCAATGGAGGCCTTTTGAAGTACAGTATAGTCACTGATATAACACTATCCAGTGTACAGCAATATCCCATATTCTGTTCAATGGGTGCCAGCTAATGAATAAATATTGACCAGAAGACACTGCAACAGTGTCAAGGAATCCTTTTTATATGCAAGTGAGAGGGTAACTGGAGCCATCTCATCCAAAAGACCAGACACTTGTCAGTGCTAAACTCCCTCAATACTCTCTGTAATGCTGGATTATCTGGCCAAATCTCTGGATTGGAATTTAAATCTACCACATTCAGATTCAAAGGCAACAATATTATTAACAGGAGCATGGCTGAAGTAGGATTAACTTAGCAAATGCACAATTAAATGAATATCTCCATCAGTGACTGCCAGCAGCACTGTGAGGACAGTAAAAAGAAAGAAACTTGATCTGAGGGCTAACCAAAATCACCACTGACTTTGCTTATGATAATCCAACACCATGATATAGATTCCTTTCATTACAGTTGTGTGAGTCTTGTTAGAAAATGAGTAGAATTATTATAGAATGGAAATGAGAGATCCCTATTCCTGTGTTAAGTTCTGATATGGTTGGACCGGGGCGGACAAGGTGAGAAATCACATGACACCAGGTTACAGTCCAACAGGTTTATTTGAAATCACAAGCTTTCGGAGTGCTACTCCTTTGTTAGATGAAATGCTCCTCCTGATGAAGGAGCAGCGCTTTGAAAGCTTGCGATTTCAAATAAATCTGTTGGATCATAACTGGGCGTCATAGGGCTTCTGACCCCTTTGTAAACCGTAGCGTGCGTGTGTGTGTATATTCATCTATCACTGTTTGATTATCATTTTTAGCTTTGTCTTTTGTCAGCCCAGAAGGTAACATTTTTAGTTCCGAGTACAAGTTGATGGCTGACTTCAGACCTCACCCAAGCATTACTCAGGCTGCTCCATTCAGGCAAGTAAAATAATTTCCCACATTTTCTAACCCAAATCCGTGACTGAAGCAGGTTATCTGGTCATCATCTCAGTACGGTTGATGGTATAACATATTGCAGCTGTCACTGTTTCTCAGAAGTGGCCAGAAAGCCCTTTGGAATATCCTGCAATAGTGAAAATTGCTACAGCAATGCAAGTTTGTCCATTCTTGTTTTCACAAACTTGATTTAAGCTGTTTAAATGTTTGCAGTAGGAAAAAACAGTGAATGACACAGTGATCGATGGTGGAATGGTCATTATTGACTCAGCTGTAATCCAAGGCAGCATAGGGTCATGCGGTTTCATAGCTGCACGAAGTTCAGGGGCTTTGAAGAGCAGTAGGAATGCCTTCTGCAGTCTGGATAGTGAAGGCACTCATACATCTGGTTAATTCTATAGATTCCAGGAGTTTGATATAGCAACAATGAATGAAAGGTAGATACAATTCAGCATGGTTTGCAACTTGATTGGGAATTTGGAAGTGCTGATATTTCCATAGCAAGGTCACAAGAAAATGCAAACAAAAATGAAAAGCGGAGAAGTTATGCTAAACCTACATTAAACATTTGTACCTAAGATGGCACCGTCAGGAGCAACATTGTAAGCATTTCACTGCATTTCTGTACTCGAGCACATGACAATAAACCTAGTTCTAATTTTAATTCTAATATCGAACACTGGTTAGATCAGATTTAGAAAATTCCCTATAATTCTGCTTACAGTATTATATTAGCGATCCCAAACTATGTTTTCTTCAATTTTGAATAACCCATTGAGCCTCATTTAACACAATCATGGCCGATCGAACACGTCAATGCCTTTTTCCTGTACTATCCCCATTGGTAATCATAAGAACACAACATGCCTTTAACTCAGCCCTGTTATTCTATAGATCACGGCTGACCCATCACAGGCCTCGAATTCCTTTTTGTGCCAGCTCCTCTTAGCTGTCAACTCCTCAATATTGTAAGAATCTATCTACTTCCGCTTTAATTACTTTCAGTGAGATACCCTCCACAACTCTCTCAGGTAGAAAAATCCAGACACTCACCACCATCTGGGAGAAGAAATTCCTTTGCATCTCAGCTTTAAAACAGTGTCCCCTTATTTTGTAAATATCTTCCTGAGCTCAAGTCTTCCAACTAGTGGAAATATCTTCTTAATTTCCACTGTCAAGACCCCTCAGAATCTTGTGTTGCAATAAGACCACCCCTCATTTTTTAAACACTTAATAAATAAAACCCCAAGGTGATTAGCTGTTCTTGATTAGTTAATCCATTCATCCCAGGAAGCAACCTAGTGAATCTCATTTTAACAGGTTCCGAAGCCAATATGTCAGTTTTTAAATACGGGGAACAAAACTGTACACAGTATTCCAGGTGCAGTCTTGCCAACAGCCTCCACAGTTGTAACAAGACTTACCTATTTTTAAACTCCAACCCCTAGCAATGAAAGCTTAAATTCCATTTGCTGTCTTAATTACTTGCTGCACCCCTTCATGCTAACTTCTTGTGTTTCATGCACAAACACACCCAGACCCTTCTGTGCTGTACCTTTTTGAAGTCTGTATCCACTTAAATCATTGTCTGCCTTTGAATCTTCTAACCAAAGTGCATGACCAAATACTGTCCTACATTTAACTCCATCTACCAAGTTTTGCCCACTCACTCAACCTACCTATGTGCACTTGCAGATTCCTTATGACTTCATCACAACATGCTCTTCCACCTATTTTTTGTATCAGCAGCAAATTTTGAAATATTACACTCTGTCCCATCCACCAAGTCATTCATACAGTTAGTAAAATAACACCACTGATTATGTCTTTTCAACTTGAAAAAGACCCATTAATCTTGACTATCTTCGGTGTGTGATCCTCAATCCATGCTGACAGATCACCCATAAAACTGTGAACTCCTTTCTGTTACAATAATCTTTTATCAATTGTTTCTGGAAATCCAAATACACTACATCTACTGGTTCTATCTTTATCGACTCTTTTTTTTATATCCTGAAAGAGCTCTAGCAAATCTGTCAAACATGATTTTCCTTTTAGTAATCATGCTGTCTCTGTTTGAATTCATTAACTTTTCTAAATGTCCTACAACTTCTTCCTTAATAATTGACTCTAGCATTTTCTCAATGACAGATATTAGCTTAACTGGCTTATACATTCCTGCTTTCTGTCTCCTTCCCTTCATGAACAGGGGTATCACATTGGCAGTTTCTAAGCCATTGGAATCCTTTGGTAAGCCAGTGAGGTTTGGAATATTTTGTCCAATACCTCATTTATCTCTGCAGCCATTTTCTTTAAAACATTTGCTTGCAGGTCTTGGCAACTTGTCTGCCTATAGTCCCATTAGTTTGTCAATTACTTTGTCTCATGTGATAGGGACTGTTACAAGATCTTTCCTCCCATTAGCACTATTCTTATCTGTTATCTTTGGGATGTTAGTAGCACTCCCTGAAGTGAAGACAAAAGCAAAATATTGGTTTAAATTATCTGCTATTTCCCTGTTCCCCATTATTAGTTTCCCAGTCACATCCTTCAGAGGTTCCACACTCACTTTAACTATTCTTTTTATATATGTGTACAGGGTTTTGCTGTTTGTTTTCAAGTTTCTTTCCAATTTACATTCATAATGAATTTTCTCACATTTTATTGGATTTTTAGTCATCTGCAGCTGGTTTCCAAAAAAATTCCCAGTCTTGTTGTCTTCTGTTAGTTCTGACCACATCGTATGCCTTAGTTTTTGATTGGATAGTCTTGTTGACCACCGTTGTTAATCACATGTGGTTCAGCCTTCTTATCAAGTCTTTCTGTTCGACAGCAGCAAATTTTTGCAGACAGTTATATCTGCTTAAATGTCTGCCGCTGCTCATTCCACAGATATACCCCTTGGTCTATTTTCCCAACCCACTAAATCCATTGACTCCTCTTTATCAAGTTTGTTAGTAACAAACATTAGAAGTGAACGTGCAGCAGTCACAGTAATATACAAAGATTCACTTGCCCTTTGGTGAAGGAAATCTACTGAGACGTTAGCTTTTATGAGACCTTTTGCAGGATGTGAGCATTGTTTGCTGGGTTAGCATTTATTGTCCATTCAGGGGTGGTGGTGTGCCACACTCCCCTCACCCACCCTCAAACCACTGTGGTCCACCTAGTTAGGTTTAGCCACAATTCTGTTCCAGGCTTTTGACCCAGGAACACCTAAGTTTGAGCTTAGACGGGGAATGCATTTGTGCTGTACCTATTCATTTACTGCTTTTTGTCTTCTAGGTGTTAGAGTTTTCAATGGTTGCTGTCAAAGGAGCATTAGTTGAGGTACTGGATTACATCTTGTTGATGGTGCATATTGCTGTCACTGGATGTTAGTAGTGAAGGGAATGAATGTTTATGGTATTAAACAAGGTGCCAATCAAATGAACTGTTTTGACCTGGATGGTGACAAAGTTCTTGAGTGTTGTTGGAGCTGCCCCAATCCAGGCAAGAAGGGAGTATTCGATCACATTTCTGGCTTGCACCTTGTAGATCATGGGCAGGCTTTGGAGAGTCAGGAGGGGAGTTACTCGTTGCAGGATTTCCAGCATCTGACCTGCTCTTGTAACCACTGTATTTGTAAAGTTAATCCCTTTCTGTGTTAATAGCTGACTCCAGTCTCACATCCAATGTCCTCTGAAGTGGACTAGCAAGTCACTTAAGTGTATCAAATTGTTATAAGGGACAGAATCTTATAAGGCCCTGAACAATGTGGGCTATGGTGAGAAATCTGGGAGAATTGCATGAAATGTTTTGCAGCACCAGGGCAAACCATTTT